ATAGCATGGTATTGTTAAAAATTCGCTTTATCAAAATCTTAGGTTAAATGTGATCTAGTTTCTGTTCGTTTGAGGAAACGAAAAGAGATGAACATCCAACCTAAGTACTAATTTCATGGCAGGAACAGTGTTACCCTCAAAGGTTGAACATTAGACTTACTATAGTACTAATTTCATGGCAGGAACAGTGTTACTCTCAAAGGTTGAACATTATACTAATTTCATGGCAGGTACAGTGTTACCCTCAAAGGTTGAACATTAGACTTACTATTAATTTCATGGCAGGAACAGTGTAACCCTGAAAGGATGAAGATCCGACCTACTAATTTCATGGCAGGTACAGTGTTACCCTCAAAGGATAAACGACCTAATACAGGGGACATTTAGTTCCAAAGCTAAGACTTGGCCCATTTCTAACACTGAGTGTTCGAAATGGAAGACTGGGTTTTTGGGATCCCGGCCCATATCCAGAATAAAAGTCGATAGTAAAAACTATAATCAACATTTAATTAAACATGACGGAAACAACAATTCCAAATTTAAAATCAAAATTATAATAGGAGTTCTTTTATATTAAATCTCTTGACCGTTTTCAAGACAATGTCTACGTGGATTATACGGTTCTGTCAATATTCTAGAAAGCTGTGACTTTCGATCACAATTTGACCCATTAAACATAATTTGTTAGCCTTTTTTCTTAAATACTTTTTTGTTGGCATACATTTTGAATAAAAATAAACCAATTCGTTAAGTAAATGATTATTGAATTAAAGACCAAAATACGTTTGATTTCAAATAGAAGAAACCGAATGCTGTTCACTCTGGTTAGTCCGGTGTGTGTCAGGTTTTCCATTTTCTAACATGTTCTGAATTTGAATCATTGTCGCGATTTCGAGACTAAACCCACTTTAATGTTTTTGAGTAATAATATCCGCAATTCAAAACAAAACTCACTTTACCATTCTCTCTGTAAGCAATATCCATTTAATGTGTTGAACATAAGATTGGACATATTCGAACTTCTTAAATTCCGGTTGTTAACGGTAAAATAGATTAACGGAACGAAAGCAAAAGGCATTGGAAAATTTCTTTAACGAACAGAAAAAGTTAGAAGAATGCGGCTCGGACGAGAAATAATTGTGGCTGACGTTTCTTCCCTGCCTCACCCAGCCCTAGTTGGAGAATACATCTCTACAAATAACCAATACTTGGGGCAGGGCAAAGTTAGAAAACTAAAATTAGATTACTAAGATTGATAACAAGTAGAAGCCTTCACTATAGCTACAGGGTGATTTACAATAGGCTTAAACCGACTTTTGGTGTAATTTCAAGTGAACTTTTGTAGAAAAAAAGAAAGGCAGGGAAAGTCTGATTCACAACTGCAACCCTCTGAACCTTTCTCAGGCCACTGTTTTTCTATCGCTTTTGCAGAGAAACCTCAATAGAGAATAATTAATCTGGCAAACTCAAAACTTTGAGACAAGATTTTGACATAAAATCCCCCCCTCTAAAATACCCCAACTACGCCTAAAATTTGAATTCCACACGTTTTCGAATAAAAAAACAACGATATCCTCCACACTGTTGCTCAGATAGACGTTTAAAGGGAGTGGTTGGGATTACCTCAACTACGTCTAAAATTAGAATTCCACACGTTTTCGAATAAAAAACAACGATATCCTCCACATTGTTGCTCAGATAGACGTTTAAAGGGAGTCGTTGGGATCGAATCGAACACGACACTCTTTTTAAATTTCGCCCACAGTCCCTTATAAGGTAAAAAAAAATGCGTGATGGGACTAATGGGGTAAGACAAGACAGACAGTAATTGTGTAGACGCAAATCAAATGATTGGAAGTAAAAAAGTTGGTAAAAAGATGAAAAAAAACGAGAAAAATTAATAGATTAAAAAGCAAATTAAATTAAAGATTCCAGGCATTTTTTTTTATCTTTTTAAAAAAAACTAATAAAACCTGTTTTTTTCCCAACAAAATAACAAACTAAGCTTATCTTAACGTTTAAAGATATTTCTGAAGGACAAAAAACTGCTATTTTTAATCGGAGAAATAAGGAAGGAGGTAAGAACAGGATATGTAGGACGGAGAGGAGAGAAAGGATGAACAGGGTTGGAACAGGATATATAGGACGGAGAAGAGAAGAAGGATGAACAGGGTTAGAACAGGATATATAGGATAGAGAAGAGGGAAAGGATGAATAGGGTTAGAATAGGATAAATAAATCGGAGAAGAGAGGAAGGATGAACAGGATTAGAACAGGATATATAGGACGGAGAAGAGAGAAAGGATGAACAGGGTTGGAACAGGATATATAGGACGGAGAAATAAGGAAGGATGAACAGGGTTGGAACAGGATAGGACGGAGAAGAGAGAAAGGATGAACAGGGTTAGAACAGGATATGACAGAGAAGAGAGAAAGGATGACCAGGGTTAGAACAGGATAGGACGGAGAAGAGAGAAAGGATGAACAGTGTTGGAACAGGATAGGACGGAGCAGAGAGAAAGGATGAACAGGGTTGGAACAGGATATAAAGGATGGAGAAAAGAAGAAGGATGAACAGGGTTGGAACAGGATATATAGGACGGAGAAGAGAGAAAGGATGAACAGGGTTAGAACAGGATATATAGGACGGAGAAGAGAGAAAGGATGAACAGGGTTGGAACAGGATAAATAGGACGGAGAAGAGAAGAAGGATGAACAGGGTTAGAACAGGATAAATAGGACGGAGAAGAGAAGAAGGATGAACAGGGTTAGAACAGGATATATAGGACGGAGAAGAGAGGAAGGATGAACAGGGTTGGAACAGGATATATAGGACGGAGAAGTAAGGAAGGATGAAAATTGAACATTATTAGGAGGGAAACGTTCAATGTTAATTTTATCAGGGAGAAAGTTTTGTTAGTTCTCAGTTTTTCGTTTTCACTTGATATAAACCTATATGATAAATGATTTTAAACCAAATATATCAAAATAAGGTCTTTATTACAGTTTTGTCTACTATTTACAACATGTTGGCATTAACCGAGTTCAAGGGCGAGATTCGATTTGGATTTAACAATAGGCTGAGAATGGGAGTTGTAACGGTACAATTCTTCATAACATGCTATTTACGCGCTTATTGGAATGAATTAAAACCCCCATTTTATACCATATTATAACCACTAAATCTAGTAGTTCTGATTTCCCTTCTAATTTTTTATGTTGATGCTCCCTTGCAACTGTTAGACTTAGAGAAAAGATGAAAAAGAATGTGGAAGGAAGATTGAATATAGGATTAATCGATTTTGTATCATCAATCTTTAGGACGAGAACATTTATTTACAAGATTCTCATTCCCATCCACAGCAGTGGGATTGAAATCACAAGTTCTAAAATGCAGAATTATTTAAACAAAAAATTCTATCACAAATTACAAGTCAGAACAACGAAAAATCACATAATATTTTAATATAGCATAATAATTTTGTCAACAAATTTAAATTAATTTGAATGAAAACTGTCACATTACAGAAAATAATAAAAAAATATCATTTTATCAAAATAACAATTCGGTTTAATTCAGTTTTATTGGAACAAATAAAATTGAACTTTACTTGAATTTAAAATAAAACATGAATTTTCTTGAACATATTAAAAAAACACAAAAAAAATTAGTTTCGTTTGAAAAGAACATAACATCACAAATAACCTTTAAAACAACTAAATGTCATGGGACAAAAGAAAACTGATATACTTCGTAAAACAATATTTCCTTTCAAAATGATTGTCAACGGTTTTGCCTCTTAAAAGTTAAAAATGGCGTTTACAATTGATATATCTTTTGTCTCATCATAATCCAAATTAATAAGTTTACAATTGATATATCTTTTGTCTCATCATAATACAAATTAATAAGTTTACAATTGATATATCTTTTGTCTCATCAAAATATAAATTAATAAGTTTACAATTGATATATCTATTGTCTCATCAAAATATAAATTAATAAGTTTACAATTGATATATCTATTGTCTCATCAAAATATAAATTAATAAGTTTACAATTGATATATCTATTGTCTCATCAAAATACAAATTAATAAGTTTACAATTAATATATCTATTATCTCATCAAAATATAAATTAATAAGTTTACAATTGATATACCTATTGTAACATCAAAATATAAATTAATAAGTGTACAATTGATATACCAATTATCCCATCAAAATATAAATTAATAAGTGTACAATTGATATACCTATTATCCCATCAAAATATAAATTAATAAGTGTACAATTGATATGTCTATTGTCTCATTAAAATACAAATTAAAAAGTTTACAATTAATTGTGCATGGAAGTTGTACATAACGTCTAAGGCTAAGGCCAAGCACTCTTAGAACGGCAAGATTCAATATTGCTTAAGCTTTGGAGAATTAGAGATTTAATCGAATGAGAATTTTGGATCAGAAGACCGACTATTTCCAAGTTTTTAACGATTTTAAACTTAGCTTTATGCGAGGAGCAATGAAATTGTGCTTTAAATTAAAAACTAAATATAACTATAAATAAGACTTTCAGATTCTAAAATTTCAATATAGGAGGTTGAAGGCCGGAATCTAAATGACATTTCCCCTCAATTTGCAGGAATGAAAACTATTATTTGTAATCAAAGACGGCTGCGAGAATAAATGATTGTCGTTGGATTCTGCAAGATGGCTGCAAGAATCCTAGATGGCTTCCAGAATTCAAGATGGCAGCCGGTATCAAAGATTGCTCCTGGATCCAAGATGACTGCCGGATCCAAGATGGCTGCAGGAATCGAATATGGCTGCCAGAATCCAAGATGGCTGCCAGAATCCAAGATGGTTGCCAGATCCACGATGGAAGCTAGGATCCGATCAGATTTGTGGAAACTACTCCGCTTTCATCCTAACTGGACTTGACACTACCCTGGGTAGGGGTTGAGATCCGTAAATGTTCTTCAGGAAATTCCAACTTTTATTCTAAAATAAAAAAAATATATTTTTTTTCATTATAACTCGTTTAATTATTATCTTTTCAATCTTGAAAAAGATTTGAACAAAAAGAGGAAACGGTAATCAATGAAAATGCGCAAAATATTAATGATTTTCTAGAACCATAAACAAAGAACCATAAACCAGGAACCATAAGCCAGGAACCATAAACCAGGAACCAGGAACCATAAACCAGGAACCAGGAACCATAAACCAGAAAACAGGAACCATAAACTAAGAACTCGGACCATGAATTAGGAACGGGAACAATAAACCAGAAAGAAGAAAACCATGAACAAAAAAACAAAAACAAAATATTATGAAATATCAACTACATACGAATGCGTCGAATTGCATTGAACAATATGCAGTTTTCAATTCAATTGAATTATTTACGATCTGAGCAGAATAATGCAACTACGTGAATTTGTATGGACGCTACTCTATTGGGGGTTAGACTCTATAACAATTTTCTCCTTAGAGACGCAACAGATAGAAGTAAAGTTAGTAGCGATCGATATCGAATTCTATTCGAAGTCAACTTATACCCCCTATCATTTTCACGAACACTCCCTTTAAGTTTTAATATATATAATATATATAAACTATTTAACCCCCCCCTCTCTCTCCTGATGAGCTTACCAAAGACGAGGTTTACGAAGAGGATGATGACGTAGCTTCTCAACCACTTAATCTTCCCGTAGTTGCCCAGCAGGTCGAAATTTGTTATTCCTAAACATTAAAAATAATGTTTATAGATTCTAGCATTGAAAGAGGAAATTGGGGAAAAAGAGAAATGGGACACCTTCTAATTTAATCCTAAGTTGTATTTGATCTTGTTGGACGGTATCTGCCCCGGATCTTGTTGCGCAGAAGATAATCCGGCGGCAGAGAAACCTTGCACTGTGGAGCTCAGACACAGAATGTTCTAATGTTAAATAAAAACAGCGACCCCCCCCCCCCCCCCNAAACACATTTCTTCATTGCACAGGATTGTAAGCGTAATTTTAAGCGATCCTCAATGAGGATATGGCAATGTCAGATTCACAAAGGTACCCTAGAAACCGTAATCTGTTTTTCTGATTCGAAAAGTGTTTAATTCTGATAAATTCTTCAGTCCCATTAGCAAAAAATGCGCAAGTCTTTTTCGCAGAGAAACTGCAAATGAAAATAAACAGTTTCAAGAACAGTAAAACATGGATAACTAATTCATACTTGATTAAATAAAGTTTTAAAGGGTATCGATGTACATCGGACATTGCCATATTTGCATGAAGGGCTCTTCGAATTATGCTCACAGTTCCTTCGCTAAAAGTATAATAAAACTATGAAACAGGCAGTTTTGTCGAAAGTCCCTTTAAAAGGATAAATCCTACATAAAACTTTAACGAGGACAGGAAGTGTCACTTTAAGAGCATAAATCCTACCTAAAACTTTAACCAAGGACAGGAAGTGTCGCTTTTATAGCATAAATACTACATAAAACTTTAACACGGACAGGTAGTGTCACTTTAAGAGCATAAATCCTACCTAAAACTTTAACGAGGACAGGAAGTGTCCCTTTAAGCGAATAAATTCTACCTAAAACTTTTACGAGGAGAGGAAGTGTCCCTTTAAGAGCATAAATCTTACATAAAACTTTAACAGGGAGAGGAAGTGTCACTTTAAGAACATAAATCCTACCTAAAACTTTAACAGGGAGAGGAAGTGTCACTTTAAGAACATAAATCCTACCTAAAACTTTAACAAGGAGAGGAAGTGTCCCTTTAAGAGCATATATCTTACCTAAAACTTTAACGAGGACAGGAAGTGTCCCTTTCAGAGCATAAATCCCACCTAAAACTTTTACAAGGAGAGGAAGTGTCCCTTTAAGAGCATAAATCCTACCTACAACTTTAACGAGGACAGGAAGTGTCCCTTTAATAGCATAAATACTACTAAAACTTTAACGAGGACAGGAAGTGTCGCTTTAAGAGCATAAATCCTACCTACAACTTGAACAAGAAGAGTAAGTGTCACTTTAAGAGCATCAATCCTGATGGGCGGATTATTGGTAACTAATAATTTGGTAACTAACATTTTGGTAACTAAAAATTTGGTAACTAATAGTTTGGTAAATTGACAATTTGGTAACTAATAATTTGGTAACTTGACAATTTGGTAACTTGACAATTTGGTAACTTGACAATTTGGTAACTAATAGTTTGGTAAATTGACAATTTGGTAACTAATAATTTGGTAACTTGACAATTTGGTAACTTGACAATTTGGTAACTTGACAATTTGGTAACTTGACAATTTGGTAACTAATAATTTGGTAACTAATAATTTGGTAACTTGACAATTTGGTAACCTGACATTTTGGTTTACAATAAAATTCTAAAATGAAATAAGCAGGACTATTTAAAGATTTATGATTCACCAGGTTTATTAAACTTTCATATATCATTTACTTCTTTTACAAACGATTACATTTAAACATTTAATCATGTAATACTGAAATTGTTGAGAATCCTGCAGCATTACACCTCCCCTCGATGTTCGCAGAAACTCGTACCCTGCCATGTTGAGATGAGAGATTGTGAATTTTACAAACATTTTAGCTGATTTGTCATACTAAACTTTTAAGAAATCCTGTATATTGTTTTTTCTTTCTATGTATTCAACAAATAAATATGCAAACAATGATTGTGAAACATTAGTTTCAATTATACAAATTGTCAAGTTACCAAATTGTCAAGTTACCTAATTGTCAGGTTACCAAATTGTCAGGTTACCAAATTGTCAAGTTACAAAATTGTCAGGTTACCAAATTGTTACCAAAATATTAGTTACCAAATTGTTAGTTACCAAAATGTCAGTTACCAAATTATTAGTTACCAATAATCCGCCCATCTAAATCCTACCTAAAACTTTAACAAGGAGAGGAAGCGCAGATGAGAGGATAACGAAGAGGCCACAATTAAGGATGAGATGAGATATCGGAGTGTCTCTAAAATAAATAAAAAGATTGATTAACTTCTTAAACTCAGTTCATGACATAACAAGGAAAATAATGCATGAATATATCAAATCAAATCAAATCATATTAGTAGGGATAGCTTAAGGCTCCTAAATGTGGGCACACAGGGGTGTATATAATTCCAATTTTTTTATTTTCCCCCCCTCAATCTTTTTTTTGATTTCCTTTCCCAAATAAATAAAAAGACATAATTTTTTACTATTTATATTGCAGTGCATAATAAATCCCTAAAATGAGTTGAAAAAGGATAAATGGCGCCGCAAAGGGAAATTTTGTTAAAACTTTGGGAAATGGTAAGATGGCAAAATAAAGTCGGGATTGATTATTTATCAGTCCAGGAGTATATTGTTTCTCGGAATTCATTTCCCATCATTTTTCTTGGAGGGGGGAGAATTTGTGAAATTTTTAAATGGACTTGACTTTTTAAAAAATTTGTTCAGTATTAAGTATTTTTTATCATATTTGTTATAAAGTTGTGCGCGGAGCGTGAAAAATGTTTAACACGTGATTTTTTGCTGCATTATAACTATTGGGGAAAATTATCTTTGAAAAATTCTTTGATTTCTCTTCCCTATATTCTCCTTCCTTCACTTCTTTATCTGCCAACCTTCCATCGATTCTCTACCTTCCCCTTCCCTTTGTTCCCCTTCCCTATCTACCATACCTTCCTTTTACCTTCCACTTCTACTTCCCTTCCCTTCCCTCTCCCTTCCGTAGTTCAGATAAAATGTTTAAAGAGTACCGTTGTGAATCGGGTATAGCCGTTGACCAGTCCCATTAAATACCTTGGTTTGGGGAGGATTTTGTTGATTACTGGTATAGAGTAGAGGCCTACTATACTAGTCACTAGTAGATATCCTGGAATATAATATAATATAATACTGGTATAGAGTAGAGACCTTCTATACTAGTCACTAGTAGAAATCCTGGAATAGAATAGAATAGAATACTGGTTTAGAGTAGAGACCTACTATACTAGTCACTAGTAGATATCCTGAAATATAATATAATATAATACTGGTATAGAGTAGAGACCTTCTATACTAGTCACTAGTAGATATCCTGGAATAGAATATAATACTGGTTTAGAGTAGAGATCTACTATACTAGTCACTATCAGATATCCTTGAATAGAATAGAATGAAAAAGAATGGAATAGAATAAAATAGAATAAAAGATAAATAGATATGACATGGATAGTAAAATAGAATAGAATAGGATATAAATATCTATAATGGAATAGAACGAAATAGATATATAGAGATTAAAAGGATCAAGATAAAAAATAGAATGAAAAGATGAGAAACCCTTTATTTTCTGGGGTTTTCTTAGGTTTGAAGAGGGTAAATTTATTATGTAAATGTTTACTCCTGTATTTATCATTTTATTCTATTCTAAGCTTTCTATTATACGGATACTATACGCAGTACGCATATACTAATAAATTCAATAGAAGGAAAGCTCTATGATTAATGCGTAGTTACAGAAAGAGGAATAATTGATGAGTCATTTAGCAAGAGAACGGTCATATTTTACGACGCTATTGCAAGAATTAAATTCCGCCGATAATTCACCTCCCTCCCCACTTTCTCAGAACCAGCACCCCCCCCCCTCCCTTTAAACCAGCTCCTCCCCATTCCAAGTTATTTCTTTTATTACTACCCCTAATGTTTAATCCCAACTGCTTAAAGGGAGTGACCGGCTATGTAAGGTAGTTGAACTGAGTCTGCAGTGTTGTGGAAAACTTCTTTCGGATTTTTCCGTGTGGTTTTCTGCAGATTTTCTAGAATTATTAATGAAAAGACGACATTTGAAGAACTTAAAGAAATCTGCAATAAATTCAAAGAAAATTAGAAATTCAATATAATGATAAAACGAAATAATTGATTCTAGCATTGATTTATTGACAAATTTCTGTTGAGAAATATGTTCCCAACCATCTAATTAGATTATTGTGTGATTTTTACTTTATTTTTCTTCGTCGTTATTTAGTAATTAAAAAAAACGATTCTGAAAACGTATCCACCCCCAAAGTAGGAGTTTTGAACGTAGAATTTGCGCTCAAGCACAGGATTTACAGATCTTTAAAAAGTTTAATAAGTCTCAAATGAATCCGAAAGAAGTTTTCCACAGCAGTGCATACTCAGTTCAACTACCTTACATTGCCGGTCACTCCCTTAAAGATGAGGACACGGATCCGTTGGATCTGCAACATTTTGGCTTTCTGAATTAAAAAAAAAAAGAATAAATATTATTTGAAAATTATTCTTTTGCTAAAATAATCAGTATATTTTAAAGAAATGTTTACAAGTTGGATCTGGATACGGCAGGATTAAATGGATACTAGCTAAGCATTGAATTCCTAATATTTTTATTGCAGGGATGTCTAGGATTCATACTTTTTAGAAATATATTGACCAATGGTTTGCCAGAGTGTAGACTGTAAAGAAGAAAATCTTAAAGCAAATACAAATATATTTTATCTCTACACTACACTTAATCTGAGGTCTCGCAGGCTACAACCGGGGGCGATCGCTGCGGTTAGAACAGGCTGGGGGGGCCGAGCGCTGCAGTTAAAAAGGCTTGGGGGCCGAGCGCTGCAGCTAGGATAGACTTGGGAAGTTGCCACCTAGGAAATTGCATGTATTTGGGAAGTTACCAATTTGGAAAATAACCTTGGTAAGTTACCGCTTGAAAAAAAACTTTGGGAAATTACCTAACTTCATATCTACACTACACTTACCTATTATAACAACTTCTACAATGACCCCAAGTACTCCCAGGGCCGAGAGAGAGGTTTGACCCAGATCAAAGTTGGCTGTGTGGGTGGGCAGCTCCCTCCAGCCACTCATCAGCAACATAATGTTGATTGACACCAGGTACAGGCATATACCTGATAGTTAGGAATATCAAGATCAGGGAGTAGAACTTCATGTGACCTTCCATGCAAAGATGGCAATGTCCGATTCACAATGGCAGTACCCTTAAAAGCTTTGAATGAACTAGATTTGAACTAGATTTGAATAGCAGGTTTCTCTAAAAATAACTTGCTCTTTCTCCTGCAGGAATAACAATTGGAATTATAAAAAAGAATTCCTCTTTGACGAAGAACAACATTAATATCTTCCACATTGTTAATCAGATCATGGTTCAAGGGACACCTTTGTGAATCGGGCATTGGCATCTGTGGCATAAAGTTTCACTTGAAATTAAGCTTACAGTCCCTTTAAGATAATGATAATGATAACAGTGATATTGAAAACAATGATGATAATGTCGTACAAGTAAGATTATGACAATCATAAAGATTTATCAATGTGACTTCAAAGATTTTTTTTGGTTTATTTTGAAAAAAATATTTTGGTTTCCAGACGCTTCACAATAATTCAACTTTTCATAAATAAATAAATAAAACAGTCACCATTCAATCCAAGGAATGTTTCATATTTCTTCTAAAAGATTCTTATCATTTTTTAGAGACGAAATTGTTATGAAATGATGGAAATCAACCGATAAGTCTCACCCCCCCCCTTCGTATTGCTAATTTTTACTCAAAAATAAATTCCGCAATAAAACTTAATAATAAACTTAAAATAAAGCTTTAAAACCGTATAATGCAATTTCATCCTTTATATTTCATTCCTATTTTCAAAAGTTTCGAAAAAATTATGATGATGAAAATGATGATAATGATGATGATAATGATGATGATGATGATGATGATGATGTTTATAATAATGATGATGATAATAATGATGATAATGATGATAACCTGTAAGGCCAAGCAGAATGATAAATGCCGAAGGCCAAAAGAGAGTTCTGTTCCACTGTGATCTTGATCTGGTTTTTTCAAGCACTTTCACTTTCTCCTGGAACATGAAAAATGGATAAAAATATCTACAAAGGGGGGGGGGGGGGG